GGGGGAGCCGGGGCGGGACGGGAACGCCCGGCGGCTGGCGGGGAGGTGCCAGGGCCGGGCCCCGCATGGGGCTATGCCCAGTGCCCGCACCCAGCCGCGGTAATGCTCGGGCAGCTGCAAAGCAAGACTATGGCCATCGCTGGTGAGGACGCAGGTGTCGGTGCCCACCTTGGTCTGGTCGAAGGGACTTTAAAGACCATCTAGTTCCAACCCCCTGCCCTGGGCAGGGACACCTCCCACCAGACCAGGTTGCTCCAAGCCCCATCCAGCCTGGCCTTGAACCCCTCCAGGGATGGGGCAGCCACAGCTTCTCTGGGCAACCTGGGCCAGTGTCTCACCACCCTCACAGTCAAGAATTTCTTCCCAATATCAAATCTAAATCTCCCCTCTTTTAGTTTAAAACTGCTCCTTCTTGTCCTATCGCTCCACTCCCTGATCAAGAGTCCTTCCCCATCTCTCCTGTGCCCCTTTGGGGACTGGAAGGGGCTCTAAGGTCTCCCCAGAGCCTTCTCTTCTCCAGGCTGAACAACCCCAACTCTCTCAGCCTGTCCTCACAGCAGAGGTGGCTCCAACCCTCTGATCATCTTTGTGGCCTCCCCTGGATTCGCTCCGACAGATCCATGTCCTTCTTGTGTTGGGGGTCCCAGAGCTGGACACAGCACTGCAGGGGGGGTCTCACAAGAGAACTGGTGATAACCTCAACTCTTCAGACCTGTGATACACTCACTTTCTCTGATCCTGTGAAATGCACTACGATACAGCTCCCTTGTTGCACCTTGGGGCACTATCTTAAGAGAGAAAAAAAAAAAAAATTGGAACATTCCCGTATTCATCATTGTTGTTTATTCTTTTCCCTTAGTTCAAAACTAACAAATATTTGTAATTCATTACCAAATGGCCCAAGCCAACCGCTTCCCTCAGCTGAATCAAATGCCCCCCTGTGCAATGCACCTATATGGTCTTTAAAGAAATATACATTGTAAGAAAATAAGCAGACAATTATATAAAACTGGATTTATGTTTACACAAGTCTTCCATTCCCATTAAAGCCCAAGTTGAGGTTGTTACATGAACAGGCAGAACATGAGATGATACTGTTAACGGTCACAACTCAGGATTTCAGGAAAAGCACAGATTTAGTTGGGAATTTATAATCAAAAGTATCAAAACTCATACTTGATTCAAAACTTTTTATCTAAGGTTCAAACTAAAACACTTCTTAAATTACTAGCTATGAGGTAAGTTGGACAAGTAACTATTACCCCTGCAATCTTTTTTTTTTTTTTAAAAAAAGCAGTATAGTTGTTAATTTTACTTTATTTACAAAGTATGGACATTTTAAGATTAAGTAATAAATACAGAGATAGTGCAAACTCTTGTTTTCAGGAAAAAACATAACTTGTGTCCAAACAACAATTTGGATGTTGGGTAAAATGCTAAATAAATAGCATTGTTTCCTTGCTGGGGGGGTGTGGGTGGGACAGGAGTCAGACAATATTGCTGCCTGCAAAAGCTCAGCTGCTCCATTCCCAGCTGCGGGGAGATGCTTTGCCTTCCCACAGTGGACTCTACAGAACTCCGTGATAGATGTCTCCTCATTTTATCAGATCAAGAACGATCTGAACACCCTCTCTTATCAGCCAGTTTAGAACAGCTCTTATCAGGCGGACCTACACTGAGAACTCCCAGAAGACAATGAAACAAACCAACTCTACAGAAAACGAAGAGCCGTTGACAATTAGCACCAGAGTCCGTAACAAAGATGAAACATGGAGTTGGTATTTTAGCCAAGAACTCCGGTCGTCGTGACGGGTAGAGCACTGACAGGGCCAGAGCTGGCAGGACTGGGGGGTCCGACCCTCAGCCGATTCCTGGGGGGCTGCGGGAGCAGGGCACAGCAGCAGTGGGTGTGCAATCCCATTTTAATGCAGCTTGTCAGACCTTAAACTTTGCCTTATACACATTTTTTCCAAGCACTGAATTACAGAATTGAATTTTGGAGCACCAGTATTTGCCTCTTAAGGAAGTCTTGGGAAACAACAACAAATTGCCCTGGCGAGCGCTGGTGCCGATGACTTTCCTGCACAGCACGTCCCCATAAGGACACAGCTGTGTCTAATGGGCACAGAAGATGTGGAGAGCTGTTCTCTACCTCTCCTCCCCATGCCCTGCTGCACCAATCCTTCACTCCATCCTCTCCCCTGGGACCTGTCTCACTTCACAATGAGCCCGCTCAGGAATTTAAACCAGGACAAACCCTTTACCTACAGAAATCTAATTTCTTCCATCTCGCTTTTGCTAGAGATAGCACACATCTGACAGCCCCCTCTCGGGTCATGCAGGACCACACAGACCCCCCCAGTAACTCAGGGGTCTACAGCAGCTCCTGGTACCACTCACTTTCTCCAGCTCCCATTTCCATAACAGACTCTCGAGGAAGAGGTTGGGTTGCTTCTTTCTTCCTGCCTTTTGAAAAAGTTTTTGGTTGTGTGGGGTTTTTTTTTTTTTTAATATTAAATATGTTTAAGTCTAAAAGAATTCTAATCTTTCAAAAAAATTATTATCTCAGTGTAAAATAGGGTTGGGAGAAAAAAGTAGCAAGATTAAAAGTTTACTGTTTTTTTTCAGCAACCTGCTAATCAGCTACTACAGCAGTAACATTTGACTTGTGTTACAAAATAGCAATATAGATTAAAAAAAACCTACTTCATCACTTGTTTCTCCAGTTTGAAAGAGGAAACAGTTATTTAATTTAGGTCATGTTTCATATATAGTACTACTGATTTGGAGTGTATGTTTAATTTTGATTTGGTGGAGTTCATCTAATGTACTGATAAGCAATTCTCAACGCATCTCTATTAATATCAAGTTTCACTGGCACTTTAGGGAATAGTGAAACAAAATTGCAAAGTAAATGCAAACCCTAAAACATCTATGAATTTAATTTCCCACATTCTGCAGATGAGAAGTTCTTCCTTAAACTCAGAAAAATTAAAGAAAAAATAAAAAATCTCTAGGTGTGGACAAGATGCCATGAAAGCAAGTGGCCCATTGTTCCAGTAAAGACACAGAACTGAAGCACCTCACACACAGCTAATCCAGCAGAGATGATCTGGCCAGGACTGAAAGATACATCTACCTTTGACTACAGATCTCTGAAATAGTCTTGTATTCTTTGTGCTAATGCAGAAGTGAAATTGGAAGACTTTTAGTTTGGGGAGTAAAAACAATGTGCTTTTATTTAGCTTGATTGATTTTGCTGGACTTGAAACAAATGGCAAGAATGGGTGCAGCTGGACCACAGCTCACAGCCAGGGGAGATCTGAGAAGGCAGAAGGGGAAGGGACAGAGGAATGGGCCCAAGGAAACACTTGGTCACACTGTCCTCTTCTGGGCACCTTCTTACTCCTCATGTCATGTAGACACTCTGTACACACTCACATCCACTCCAGCCAGTCAGAAGTTGGTATTGATTTACTTTTTTCCTAAAAGGTACAGCAACAGAAGATGCACAACCCCTTTCCACAACTCCTTTTGGGAGTTTGGAACGCAAAACTCAGGAGGCAATACCTCACATATTGACAAGGCAAGAAACACAGAATGGAAAAGAAAATTACGTACCTTTCAAAGGTATTTTTAATAGTTTTCTTTTTTAATAACGATGTACCATATACATCCAGCATTATCCAGGTGCCCCCTCTCTCGGCGTACAGTATGCTTGCTGTACATCACTAAGGCACTCAGGAGGGAATTCATTTTTGACAAATGCAATGGGAATGTTTCCACTACAGAGAATCAGTAATAAGTTTTTGTAGCAGCTCTACCACAGGATTTAGCTTGTTTGATTTATGTGACAGCAAGTTGTACACCAACTCACTGGGAATTTGGCAAGTTTGTCATCACCAAATGACTGGGAATTTGGCAAGTTTGTCATCACCAAATCACTTCCAAAGGCACTAATCATCTTTTCTTACCCTTAACGGGGAATAATCCCATTTTTTTTTTCTACTGATCTTGAATCTGAATGTTCAGACATTTTAGTGACACAGAAAAACCAATACTATCAATTCATTCCCTCAAAATAACCATCGCCTTGCGAAGGCCTGGAAACCTGTCTTTGTGAGCTGCCTGCTGCTCTGTCCAATTTACATCTTCAGGACTCAAGGCCCAGAGTATTGTGCGTTACTCTTAAGTCCTACCTTACAACAATTTTTTGTCGAGAAAGTACCTTGAACGTAAATCAAAATGCTTTGAAACAGCGGAAATAAATTAAACAAATGTAATTTGTTTATAAAAATATTTTCTTATAAATCTTTAAAGCTTATAAAAGCCAGAAAATACATTTAAAAGAATCTCTGAAACATTCCATCCTTTGAGATGTGGTTACAGTTCAGAAAGTGAGAAGAAACAAAGCCCACAGACGTCTATCTTCCCACAAGGAATTCCATAGTAGAACATGCTTAACCTACGAGTCAAAATGCCTTTGACATCCTTCCCCGGGTCAACTCCCCGTGTCAGACCATTTCTGTTTGAAAAGAAAGAGCTGGAACTTAGCTGACAATGCTGCTGTTTAGAAAGACATGGCACAATGAGCTTTTCCATAGTTGCTATATGGAAATTCAGACGGTGGTTACGCCAGCAGCCATGCCTCTGAAGCTAGAGCTCAGGGATACGTATGTAGTACATAGGTGCTGTTTTTCAACAATTACTTTCTGAACTTACATTTTCATATTGGCAGGGCAAGTGGTATCACATACAAACATACCACTGTCTCAGCCACCCAGTTTTTCAGTGATGTGGCATTTAAAAGTACCTATATTCCTGTTTATTGATTATGGGATATGTCTTTGTAATAAAACTAAAGTGACCTTGCTAGTCCATCCAATATTTAAACTGCATCAATTGGTCCTCCTGCACTTCCACGAAGACTGTCCTTCGTCCTGCAGCTTTTTAAATTTTGGCCCAAGTAGGAACCACCAGCCAAATCCCAGAATGACACAGATGACAGATTCCACATAGTAACCGTCCAAGGTAGTAACACAGGAACCACCAGCTTTCGTGCAAAGCTGAAAAACAGAAGCAGAAGTTGATGCATTAAGTATGTTCTGGGAGATACAGAAACACAGACTTTTAGAAAGTAGACATTAAATATCCACCTTTTTTTTCCACTTGTTCTTGGTTATGACTAAATGTATTTGTTCAATCTTCCTTGTTTCTTACAGAGTAGGTAAGCGAGGCTTTCAAGTGTACTATTGGTATGAAAAGTAACAAAACTGTTATAAAACATTTGATAAGTGGAGTATATTGGCCCAAGGGGCTAATTCTAGAAAACAGAAGCCGTTCAGCCGTCTCGTCCTGGCCTGGGGTACAAGCACTGTTCTTACTCACATAAAGATTTTTCCCCTCCAGCCATCCAAATGGCTTCTTTAGAAATTATACCCTTCCATCTCACCACACTGAATCTGCAAATGGACGGCAAAAAATGCTGCGTATTTCTGGGAAAAACATGCCCAGGATGTTTTTTTAATTGCAGAACTAGAAGACAAAAACTCCAACATTTAAAGGATACGTGTATAGCACCTGATCCTTTCCACTGTTGTTCAGCTTTCAATACTGCTATAATCCCAAGATAAATCAATCCTCCAAGTTGAGGTTCTGCCAGCATTTTCATTATTCTAAGACATGTCAAAATCAGATTAGGAATAAGAAGGGAGTGGTGGTGGAACACTACTAACTGGGAGAATGCAAAAAATGATCAGGGGAGTGAGGTGAAGGAGGAAGGACTTAAGTTCAGTAGAGACCTGGGCACAGGGAACCTAATTAGTGGCAAGCCAATGACAGAAAAAGCACACATTGGGCAGACGCAGTTTCCTCTCTGTAACTAGTAAAAATTACAAGTCAAGTTCAAACAAGTCACATCTGACTCCTAGAACTCTCTGTTTATTTAGAGAACCTCCACATCTCAAAGAGCGCTGGCATTCAAGAGTAAAATAAATCTCAGTCATGAGCACAGAATAAAAATCCCCCAAACCCCTAAAGCATTTCCACCCTTCCAAAAAATCACGTTAAAATTTCTCATTTGCTTATAAAGAGGTGAATTTGAAACCCTGCTTTCTAAGCAGTTTTGTGTCTGTTGTTCTATCTGTGCACAGCAGCACAGCACGTTCTTTGTTCTCTTCCACAGGGCTCCCCAGAGCTGGGAAGGCAGCCAGTGACACCGCTCAATTTCATGGGGAAAGTGGAGATCAAAGACAAAGAGCAAAGTAACATCACGGCAGAAGGTATCAAGGTATTTGGATGGGAAGCCTCCAGAAAGATAGAAGGAACAAAAACCTACCACAAAACTTAAAGGACCCGAGGGACAGACAGCCTGCCAAGAACAGAGCTCTTAACTACACAACTCTGAACTTAGCAAGGTTTACTCTCAAAAATGTAACTACAGCCTCCTTACACCACAGAGAACGCGGCACCAATCTAGTGCTTCCACCACCAGGTATTCTAGCCAGCCCAGAAAGAAATGGTCAATTACTCTGCAACAGCAAATCTTTGTTAAGACATCAGTTATTAAAAGTACACAGACTTAATTTTATCACAGAAATAATTGAACAGAGACCTTCAGAGCCTCCCAAACTTACTTCTGCAGCAGCTGTAGTTCCACAGGTCTGTTCCTGGGCCCCCGCACACTCTTTCACCGTGAGTGGGTCCACAAGCCAGAGTGCAACGGTGGAAGGCCAGTTCCCTCCCAGATTGGACACAGTATTCAGGAGTGTCATGTAGGTTCCTCCGATCAGCGGGTCGCTGACCTTGGCATTGAAGGCCATTATTGCAACGTACATGCTATACAGCGTGATCTGTAGATGTAAGAAAACCCACAGGACAGTAAGGTCTCCCCAGTTAGGGACAACGACAACTAAAAACCCTAACATAAAAACTATTTTAAGAGATTACTTGCAACATGGACTGAAAAATAATCTCAACAGCTTAAAATTGCACAAGAGAGAAATTGCTTCGGCAGTCTGTCTCTCTTCTCACACCAAGAAGTAGCCTTGCCATTTGTCTCAAGTCATGGTCAAAGGGACCCAGCCTCACATGCATTGGAATGATTCAGGTTATCAAAATGAAGTACGACAAGGCCAGCTAAACTAGCATATAAAAATAACACTTTTGCATGTAAAATCAACACTCAAGGCATTGTGTATGTTTTAGTTCCAGTTTTTACCAGCTGTTTGTTTCCCAGGCCATTACTATGTTTCTTCAAAATCACTAATGTAGTTTTTTTTATGATGAAGATCACATAACTTGACACATCTGACAATAAGCACAATCATCAATCATCACGCCTATGAAACTCAAGTCAGAATGCTGGGACTTCTCCAACTCTACCACACTTTTGAGCTTCTGGTTTGGGCGGGGTGGGGGGGGAAGGGGAAATAATCTGCAAAACAATAGCAGATCTGGTCGAGTAAAAATAACTTCATAGAAGATGTCTAATGTACCCCACGGAAGAAGGAGAAATTATATTGGCAACAGCATTAAGAACTAAATACAGCCACACAGCGCAACAGGTCAGACTTAGATGAATTCTAGTGCAACTAAAGAGAAAAGCAGATAACAACATTTATAGTCCTCTTGCTGATTGATATGAAATACCCTCCTGTCCCTCCCCCCTTCCCACACACAGCGCACGTTACCTGATGTAAAGCATAACTCAACAATACTACAACATAGTAGTAGACAGGAAATCCTCCTTCATGTTTTACTTTAGGAGTCCACCATACCAAAAAAGCAAATTCCAGACCAAGCAGTAACCTGGAGGAAGAAGAAAAGTAATATGTAATTTGAGTAATTCTCCTCCCCACGTGTTTCCTCAATACAAACAACTATCAAATATTTATACATACAGAAAATATTAAGACAGTATATATGTAAATAGTTAAAGCTACTCCTATCTTAGATGGAATTAAATACTTGGCAAGCACTGAAACTGCAAACATTTTAAACAATTCCGTTGTCCATATAAACACATCTCCTATACTAGCTTTCTCCTCTGCCCCTCACACCGAAATTTATTTTTTGTAGAAAGCAACACACAGGATATCTAACCAAATTCAAAACTTACTATTTTTTTTTTTGTGAAAACATACACAGTTGCATAAGAACACGTTAAAGCAATTGCTCCCTGTTACAGATATGTTACGTGATTTACTGAGTAACAGCATTAGGTAATTTGCTGGATTCACTGGGTTTAGAATTACATAAGCAAACTCCTATATAAAACGCTTAACAGAGAAATGAAATGTCTCCTTGTCCATATCAGCCTAAATCAGCTTCTTTTACTCTCAGTTACTTCAGTAAAGCACACATCCAGTAGATGCACCAACGTGTTCTGCTGCTCTTACATGGGGAAGCACAAATAATTGTACAGATACGGCCCCGGATCTAGTCGGAATGGTTCATGAATAAGGAACTATGGACACTGAATAAAAGCAGGACAGTACTGCTCTAGTGCTGTTGCATATGCATCTTAAAAACATCTCATGTTCCACTTTCTTACATGTGTTACTACATGAATCAAGGCACAAGACACAGAGTTCTACTTACTGTGAGAATTCTCATATGCTTTCTTGCATCTGGAAGTTTAAGAGTTACACACAAAATCCTATGCTTGCCCTGAATACACAAATTACTGTGTTTCTGTCAAACAAGATTTGCTTGTTTTTACCTGAAAGGCATAGCTTTGTAAAATGTGTTCAGTGGCTGGGGGCCTGCTGTGTATTTGCTGATAATCAGAGGCAGTATTATCTGTAGAGGAACCATTGGAACCGCTAGCAGAGCCAAGTGCTCTTTCGGGACTCCCTCTTCCACCAATTTGAGTCCTGTTACAGCATCTGCTGCTGAAAATCCAACCTGCAATATAGATTAGAGAAAATAAACTGAGGAAAGCAGTGATAGTTTGGCTAGAAATTCAGTTTACTCAGTATTAAGTAAATGGAAAAATGCGAGAGGGTACAATTCATTGTGTGTCTCATTTGATTTCCAAATCCATTCTGAACCACGTTCTACACTTGCACACTCTTCTTGTCATCACTGCCAAAACTATACCAAGAACATTAAACACAGCAACGATATCCGTGCTTGTGCCTTAATTGCTGGTGGTATCCACAAGGGCCAACAAGAAGCTGTGGAAACCTAGTTTGTACAGAGTTGCAGATTCTGGGAATAATACTTAGGTTAAAAGAAACATTTTCTGCCCTTCTAACTGCAGACTACACAAGCAATCTAGCTGTTTAAAAATGTTTTAAAACAAATTACCGTAATACTGGATTGCAATCAAACTTCTCTTTAGTGCTTGTGTAAACACTTAGAAAAGCTCAAACAAATGTTTTCTGTTGTACAACCCTGCTTAGTACAATTACATAAACACTTCTGTTTCAAATTTGATGTAAAAATTTGACAACCACTAGCAAAACATCACAGGGACTCAGCAACCCTTCAGACTGATATCAACAGCACCTAACAATTCATGTATGTATTTACTTACTTTTGCTGTGAGAATCAAGAGACAGAAGGTAAGAACCGCCGGCATCTTGATTATTGAGAATAGCAGCCTGTATGTATCAGTGATGCCTTTTGTTTCTTCTTTCATTGGTGTCAGTTCCTTGTTTTCCTTTTTCAAAAGGGCAACCAGTGTAGTGGTAATTAAAAAGACAGCTCCCCAGAACAACAGGAAATCTGAAGAGAAAAAAAAACCTAAATCTTTTTAGCAGCCGTAATCAACGTTTCATTAACAATTTTCTGAGTATCTACAATGCAGTTATTTTGCAAAAATATAAACCTAATAATGAAAAAGTAAATACAAACATTACTCATTGCCCCTCTGAAAAACAAGCAACAAAAGCAAACCACAAACACATAGCTACATACAGTAACTGACCCAGCTCTGCCCTGCCCCTCTCTCTATAAGCACGTTTGCTTGAGATGTGAGACAGAAGGCCAGCAGCAAACTGTGTCACTTCCCTGGTGATCTGTCTATTGTTACCACTAGGAGCTCGTTGGAGGAGAAACAGAAATGAAGTGTTGAAGGATTACACATAACATCACCAAAAGCTGATCAAGGAGGAAGAAACACACTAAATAGTAACAAGACACAGAAAAAACTTCAGGGGAAGAAGTCACTCACAGCTCTCCAGTTGATTTACTGCGTAGTCATGAAACTATTCTGTGCCTCAATTCTATAGCCTGTCTATAAAACCTATCTACCATCTGAAGGAAACAAAGATTAATACTTACAAGTGTAAAGGTGGCCTGATGAAAGTTGTTACACAGTCATTAAATAAAGAGTCACTCAAATATGTCTGTTTTAACCAGCTACTGTACTCATTAACCCTTATGCAGATATAGTATTTGCTAAACTGTAGATTTGAAGGCAGCAACAGTAAAAACACACCAATATTTTATGGCAAGTACTTTTTGAGTTACTGAATAGATTAATCTAAATTAATCCTATCCTTTATGAAAGAGGCAAGAAAGAACTTAGTAACATGCAGAGGGTAACACAGAAGTAGCCTTTTGTCTTCCTGGTCACGAGCAACTCCAGAAGCCCCACAGTGACTTGAAAGTAAGCTGCAGGGGCTGATGAAAGGGCAAAGACAGTGCAAAGGTTTAGTCAATTATTAGCTGCTTCTTAGGCACAGGAAGAGAACAAGCACCACAAGCATGGCAGAAAATATGCTATATCCTAGTATTCTCAGTGTAAAAGGAAAAAAGGCTTTTCAAACCATTTTTTGCTGCTTCCACACGAGCTACTTCTCCCTTTTCTAAAGTAAAGCAGTTCTCCTAACCAATGCTGTCAGATTGCTCTCTTCTCTGTTAAAAAAAGATACTCTGAATATGCATTTTTAAGTAAAAGATGAATTTTCAGAGAGTCATGCTAATCACAGCTACTGTTTACAAAAGACATACAGCAGAGGTACTCTAATAATAGCACTAAGCATTATCACCGCAGTGAGAGACTTACAGTGCAAGGACAGGAATAGAAATAGCTTTGAGCATCATTGCATGAATACTCCTGCTCAGGTCAGCTCTGTCAGCTGCAATACAGCAACGGCTGGATTAGCAAAAAGGCAAAAAAAAAAAAAAATAGCAGCCATACACTCTACTAACAGGCTACAAGCAAAAGAACTTTAAAATCATAGTTTACAAAAGAAATTTCTAGCCTAAAGTTTCTGATGTCACCAGTGTTGCCTAGCTCCATCCCAATTTTGTCTCTGCCTCTACACTATTATGAGCAAAATAAACCATTGTGTTGGGGCAAAGCAAATTTTGAACTAGATTAGGGACGGACCCAGCTGGAAAACAACCATCAATGAGGTGCACGTGGGGTGACAGATGTTTCATCACAACAGCTTTAGTTAATTCATCTCTTCCCAGGAAAACAGGTGCTCCACAATCACTGCCTCAGGTAAATTTGGGTTGCCTTGAAAGGGCAACTTCTTCCCACACTCACGCTTTACCTCTCTCATGCTGGGACAGGAATTCATGTGACTGCATGGCAAACAACTAACACCGTTGCTGCTCCACAACTTGAAGCTGACTTGGGATCATGAAGTATTGACTTTTCTTTCCCTCCCATCAGCACTCAGCCTAGGACAAAAGTCTTCAGAGATCTCAACTGGCAAAACCCACTTATTTTCCAACTGTTTTCTGCTGCTCTGACTGCCCAAACAGGCTCATCACAAACCCCATTAGAACCAGCGCTAGAATCAGAGAGACACTCTCCTCATTTCAGCAGTTTATGTACTGTTTTTACAGTACTGTTCTCTGGCTCCTTCAGAAGAAATGTGGACACAGCAAATCATGGCACAGTCACATGAATAAGGGAACAGAAGTTCCTTGCAGCCAGTTTCACCACCCAAAAAACATATCCTGCAACTACAGTGTCAGAGCTATTCGCTTTTCCTACTCCACCCAGGTTAGTTAGTACTCCAGGACAAGTTAAACAGGTTGTGTTGATGTCTTTTTAGTTTTGGGATATTTTTTTTTTCTCCAGAAGACAGCACTCTCGTAATAGTACAAATCCATTTACACAAACAGTACTGAGAAAAAACAAGACAACAAAAAACCTGGACAGTGGAGGTAAGAACAGACAAACCAAGCTCTTTTAACTACACTAGTGATTTGCAGGTTGCATCAGCGGTGAAAGACGTCAGTCTGTTGCTGGAGCAAGAGGGAAGAGACACGCCAGCACTTATGAACTCCACAGTAAGAGAAAACAAAGGAAAGCAATAAACCAGCAGGGTTACTTTGAGGGCTACTCTATGCTTGTTGACAGACAGACCAGACACAGGGTTATCGACAGGGAGGAAAGAGGAAAACTAGTTAGCAAAACAGACAAAATAAGTACAGCAGTCTTAGAAACGGATATCCTGATTTATCAATAAGATAGGTATAGGACAGAAAGCGAAAATCAGCCTGTAAACAACAATTCAACTCAGTTTTGGCATACCTTTTCTCTTACATGATACAGGAAGAGCAATCAATGTAAGAGACAGAAAAGAAACCAAAACCATGAGAATTTACTCTTCATTGCTAGCCATGGTCACTTTGAGGCTGCAGTCAGAAGTGGCACCAGTTTTTCTTGTCCTCCCATAAGCTGAACTGGCTAAATTCAACCTTGCAAACAAAACATTTATTTTAAGCACCTTCCAGGCAATACACCGAACATCAACCACCACATAAAACCTTTCTGAAAAAATCAAAACCAAGCAAAAACCCCAACCCAAACACACCAAACAGAAAACATCCCTACAGTTATGGCTAGTTATGGCTGGATTACCAGACTTATTTAATTCATTAAAAAGAAAACAAAATCCCCCTTAATTTACTAAAATAAGGCTTTCCTTATGAAATTGGCTACGTAGTCAACCCTGAACATGTGTCATTTCTACTTCTGTGAACAATAGCGTTTTGGGACAGCCAATTTCTTTTTAATTTCCCCTTTCCTTCCTCCCAGAAGATGTTCTTAAAAGGCCTCCTTAATAAGGGGCAAGGCTTTTGGTTTGTTTGGATTTTTTTAAACAATAATCTATACCATGGTCATGAAACTGGGTTGGGGAATAAATGTCTCCAAAGTGCTCAGGTCAGCCAAGATAATGACAAGGCAGGTTTCCCACGCTCCTAAGCCCAGAGAAGCTTGGAAGTTCAGTGCATGCAGCAGTGAACTCCACCAGTCTCCCAGTGGGCTGTGCTTTCTCATGGGCAGGGGACAACCCAAAGCTGCTCAGTTTACAGGGCCAAACCACCGCTCTCTCCAAACGGAGCTTTGGTCTAGGCTCAGAGAAGAATCACCCCCATCCCAGCACCGGTACGTTCAGGTTGGCAGTACCTGAGAGGGTAACAATCCCTTGGGGCTGGGGCTGGAACCGCAGGTACTTGTTGCAGAAGGAGGCCGACTCCAGGGCCAGGAAGAGAACGTTGCCCAGGAAGTAGCCAGCTGTCTGCCCCACCGAGTTGCAGGTGGAGGCATAACCCACATTCTCCCTTGACAACATGGTCAGGGCCCAGCCGTCCACTGCAATGTCCTGAGTCGCTGCCAGGAACTCGAAGAAGAAGAAAGTCCCAGTAAGGGCCACCACATTGGGGCCCCGGCCTTCCCCGTCGCCCAGCAGCAGGTCCACCTGGGTGGACATGTAGATCATGAAGAGCCCCAGGATGTATTGCGTGGGCACCAGCCAGGACTTGCGGCGGCCAAAGCTCCGCAGGTAGACGGCGTCCACCAAGGGGGCCCAGAGCAGCTTGAGGCTGAAGGGCCAGAAGACGAAGCTGAAGAAGGCCTGGTCGGTGTAGCTGGCACTCTTGCTCTGCAAGATGGGGGGGACGCTGCCCGCCAGTCCCAGCGGGATGCCCTGCAGCACGTACAGCACCAACAGCAGCAGGATGCTGCCCAGCTCCGCCCGGCACCCCCGCGGCCTCCGGGAACTCGTCTCCGGCGGCGGTGACGGCGGCGGCAGCAGCGCCTCGGCCTCACCGCCCGGCAGCCCGTCCGGACACAGCACCAGGCCGGGCGGCGCCTCGCTCCTCACATCCAGGTAGTGGTGGTGGCTCCCGGCTCGGCGCTGCCGGCCGCCCTCCTTGGCCGCGACAGCGGGCGACATGTCAGCGGCGGCAGCGGCGCCGGGGAACGCGCTGCGGGCCGAGGCGGGAGCGGACGCCGCCGCTGAAGAGAGA